AATCACTATGTTTTACATCAGATCAGATCTCTAAACATCCATCTTTCATCTAGTTTTGCTTGATAATACATCTGATAGCATTTGGATATCATTTATTGAAGGTAATCTGTTTTTTTCTCTGGGGACTTTAGAATTTTCTCTTCCTATTTACAGTTCTGAAATTTCACAATTCCATGACTAGAGGTGCCTGTGTTTCCCTGTGTGTATTATATCCAGTTTAGCACTAATTAGGACATTTCAGTTTAATGTCCCATGTTGGTTTTCAGTGCTGGAAATTGTTCAGATATAATTTTGTTATGTACACGCCCTCTCTTCTATTTTTTTAAAACTTTTTAACTTTATTGAACTATAATTGACAAATAAAAGTACATATATATATATATATATATATATATATATATTTAAGGTGTAAAATGTGATGATTTGGCATATGTATATTTGTGAAATAATTATCACACCTTGCATAGTTGCTTTTTTTTTCTTTTGTGGTGACTATGCCTAAGGTTTACACTTTTAGCAAATTTCAAGTAAGCAACAATGTATTATTAACTATAGTCATTGTACTGCACATTTGATCCTCAGACTCATTTATAACTGAAGGCTTGTACGTTGGACCACTATCGCCCCCATTTTCACCACCCCTCAACCCTTGGTAACCAACATTCTACTCTCTGTTTCTATGATTTTTTTTCTTTTTTTTTTTTTTTTAAGATTCCACATATACGTGAAATGATGCTTTTCTGTCTTTCTCTGACTGTCCTCTAGGTTCATCCATCCTGTTGGAAATGGCCGGATTTCTGTCTTCCTAATTGCTGAATTATTTTCTTTATCCATTCATCTACTGGCAGCCACTTAGGTTGTTTCTATATCTTGGCTAATATAAATAATGTTGCACTGAACATGGGAGTGCAGGTATCTCTTTGAGAAACTGATTTTGTTCTTAAAATATATACCCAGAAGCAGGATTGCTGGATTATATGACAGTTCTATTTTTAATTTTGTGAGGAACCTCTCTATACTGTGTTTCATAATGGCTATACCAATTCACATTCCCAGCATTTGCTATCTCCTGTCTTTTTGATAAAAGCCATCCTAACTGGTGAGAAGTGATATCTTATTGTGCTTTTGGTTTACATGTCCTTGATAATTAGTGATGTTGAGCACCTTATCATGTACTTATCAGCAATTTTTGTGTCTTTGGAAAAATAACTGTTCAGGTCCTTTGACCATATTTTAATTGGATTATTTGGTTTTTTACCTATTGAGTGGTATAAGTCCCTTATATATTTTGGATATGAACCCTTATCACATAAATGGTTTGAAATATTTTCTTTCATTCTTTAGGTTACATTTTCAATTTATTGATTATTTCTTTTCCTGTGCAAAAGCTTTTTAGTTTGACGTGTTCCAGCTTGTTGATCTTAGCATGTTTTTTTGTGCTTTTGGTGTCATATGCAAAAAACAATTACTGAGACCAATATCGAGGAGATTTTTTTCTATGTTTTCTTTTACAAGTTTTACAGATTTACTTTTTGCATTTAAGACTCCAATCCATTGCAAGTTAATTTTTGTGCATGGTAAAAGTAGGGGTCCAGTTTCATCCTTTTGCATGTTGCTGTCCAGTTTTCCCAACACTATTGAAGAGACAATCCTTTCCCCATTGTATGTTGTTGGTGCCTTTATTCAAAGATTAGTTGACCATATGTACTTGGGTTTCATTCTGAGATCTTGGTTCTGTTCCATTTGTCTATGTTTTTGTTTTTATGCCAGTACCACACTGTTTTGATTACTATAACTTTGTTATATAGTTTGAAATAGGGCAATGTGATACTGCTAACTTTGTTCTTTCTCAAGATTGCTTTGGCTATGTGGGGTCTTTTATGGTTCTATACAAATATTAGGATTTTTTTATATCTATAAAGAAATGCCACTGGAATTTTGATAGATTGCATTGAACATCTATAGATCACTTAGGGTAATATGGACATTTAAAAATTATTAGTTAATCTAATCCATGAACACAGGATATCTTTTCATTTATTTGTCTTCCTTAATTTCCTTAGTCAGTGTCTTATATTTGTCAGTATACAGATCTTTCACCTCCTTAGTTCAATTTATCCTTAAATGTTTTAGTATTTTTTTAAAGTTTTTATTGGAGAATTGGGGGAGGGGAACAACACTGGGGAATTGGGGGAAGGGGAACAGACAAGTTGATGTCATTTTGTTCTTCAGTCTAGTTGTGGAGGATGTTGCTTCACTGGCCCATGTTGCTATTATCATTGCGCTCTTCCCAGATGAGGCAGATCTGTCGCCGGCCTCTGGACGGCCGCTCACTGTGGCTCTTGGCAGCTCATGCCAGCTGCCAGCCACACATGATAGCTTATGGCAGCCCACTGCAGCAGGGGCTGCAGCCTACACCATTGCCAGCGACTCATGGCAGCCCAGCTCCAGGTCGAGCTGTTGTTTGCCATCTTAGCTGTAGAGGGCAGTGTCACTGGCCCCCATGTGGGATCCAAAATGGGGCCCTGCTGCTCAGAGCTGGCGTCCCATGCCAGCTCTTAACCAATGCGCCACTTGGCCAGCCCTGTTTTAGTATTTTTGATGCTATTATAAATGGAATTGGTTTCTTTATTACTTTTTCAGACAGTTCATTGCTAATGTATAGAAATGCAACAGATTTTGTATGTTGATTTAGTATCCTGCGACTTGACTGAATTCATTTATTCTAACGGTTTTGGGGTGGGGTGTTTAGTTTTCTATATGTAAGATCATGTCACCTGCAAACAGAAAATTTTAATTATTTCTTCCTGATTTGGACACTTTTACTTCTTTTTCTTGTGAATGTTCCATCTAGCTGAGACATCCAGTACTATGTTGAATAGAAGTGGAAAGAATGGGCACCTTTGTCTTGTTTCTGATCTTAGAGTAAAATCCTTCAGATTTTAACCACTGAGTATGATGTTAAGTGTGGGCTTGTCATATATAACCTTTATTATGTTGGGGTATATTCCCTTTATAGCTGCTTTGTTAAGAGTTTTTGTCATAAATTGATGTCGCATTTTGTCAAATACTTTTTCTACATCTCTTGAGATGATCATATGATTTTTATCTTTAACTCTATGAGATGTTTTTATGATGTTTATCATTAATTCTATTAAAGTGATGTATCACATTTATCAGTTTGCATATTTGAAACATCCTAGCATCCCAGGGATAAATCCACATGATCGTGGTGTATGATTGTTTTATTGTGCTGTTGAATTCTGATTGCTAGGATTTTGTTGAAGATTTTTGCATCTTGCTCATCAGAGATATTGGCCTGTAATTTTCTGTTCTTGTAGTGTCCTTTTCTGGCTTTGGTATCAAGGTAATGCTGGTCTCATAAAACAAGTTTGGAGGTATTTTCTCCTCTTCATTTTTTTTTTAAGGTATTTGAGAAGGATTGGTATTAACTCTTTAAATCTTTGGTAGAATTCACCAATAAAGCCATCAGACTGTGGATTTTTTTTTCCATTGGGAGTTTTTGATTACTGATTCAATTTCCTTACTTATTGCTCTGTTCTGATTTTCTATTTCTTCATGATCCTGTCTTGGTAGGTTGTATGTTTCTAGGAAGGTATTCATTTCTTCTAAGTTATCCAATTTGTTGGCACATGATTGTTAATAGTAGCCTCTTCTTTTTATATCTATGATGTCAATGTATTGTGACCCCTTTCATTTCTGTTTTTATTTATTTGAGTCTGCTCTCTCTTTTTTCCTTAGTTATTGTAGCTAAAGGTTTGCCAATTTTACTTATTTATTTATTTTTTAAAACCCTTTTTCTGTTGATGTTTTCTCATGTTTTTGGTTTTTCCTTTGTTTCTTTTCTGAATGTTGTTGTTTGTTTCTTTTCTTCTCCTAACTTTGGACTTAGTTTGTTCTTATTTTTATAGTTCCTTGAGGTATAAAATTAGGTGATTTATTTGAGATCTTTTTTTTTAATGTAGGCATTTATCATTATAAACTTTCTTCCTAAAATTGCTTTTGCTGTATCACATGATTTTTTATGTGATGTTTCCATTTTCATTGTTTCAAGGTTCTTTTGATTTCTTCTTTACCCACTGTTTGATTTCTTGGTCTCTGAGCCTTTTCTTCCTAGTTCCCTACCTCCTAGCTTTTGTAAACTTATAGCTCCAATTAGTGAGTTAGTTCTTTTACAAACAAGTACAATTCATACAAACCCCTCCTATGATGCAGTAAACCTTGCTCTGGTAACCCATCAGGTGAAACACCTTCAGCCATTTTCACACTATTTCACCTCCACTCTTGCTTTACGTTCAAGTTCCATTTCTATTCTACAGAGATGGTTACCTCACTTATGAGTGTAGGTGTGTGTGTGTGTGTGTGTGTGTGTTTATTTCCTTCTTATATGCTTCAATGGTATATAGTTGAAACAAAGATGGTACCCAACCTGTACAGGAAACATAACTTGTTATTTTTCCATAATGACTAGTATTTCTCTGTGTTTTTGTGAATCTTATACTGACATTAATGTCTTACTTTTCCCCTCTATTAACTCTTCCCTTCATTATTGTTTTTCTTTCTGAGAGCTTTGTTTTAGTTATGGATTTTTCATTTGCTGAGTTTGCTTTCTCTTTTACTTATATTTATTTTATATTTGATTATTCTTAGTAGTAATATATAGCATTAGAAAGGATGGATTTATATAGAAGTGAATGAATGCTCTGAAAGCTGAGCATCAGGGATCCTAAGGCCATTCTTATTGATAAGCTTATTCTCCTGAGATTGAGCACAGCCTGACAACTAGGGGTAGGCAACAAAAGCAGAAAAATAAGTGGAATATTGGGAAATATTTTCTGTATTCAAGTTTTAGTTAAATATCTGGTTATTTTGTATTTCTGGCAACAAAAAAATGAACAGCCTTTTCACTATTCTTAAATATATTTGTCTCAATAGCTACTCTTTTGGAATAATCATATCAATATATATATTTTTTCCAGTATAGAGAAAAAAGCAGAGCTTGAGTCTGGAATCCAATCTTTGCTAAAACTGAAGTCAAAAAATGATGACCATCTTAAACAACTACACAAGGATGCTTTTCACATCGGTGCTGTTTTCCACCTAACCAGATCTAAAACAGAGGAATTAGAAGAGCAAATAACAGAAGGGAGAAGAAAATTCATGGTTTGTATCTCTGTGTTCTTCTTAGTTATGAAAAACAGTAATAAACCTGAACTTTATAGATTTAGTATTGATAATTAGATTTTGATTTAAGCTATAATAGTCTTTTAAAAAAGTTACTGCTTCTAATAAATCAGAAGAAAATCTCTTTTTGTCAGAGACCCAGCCTGAACAGAAGAGAAATGGGGCTCAGTGTAGCAAATCATCACTGTGTCTACTTTTTGCTATTACCATCTTTAAACTACCTAGAACACCAGAATAATGGTGTTTGGTTCAGCCTCATCCTCCATATATAATATATAGTAGTTCCTGTCTGTGGTAGAAAGAAGGAATGTTGGTAAGTGCCCATTGTAACCTTACCAATGCAAGAAAAGGGAGAACCTACATCAGGCCTGCAGAGCGCCAAGGCCTTCAGAGCACCAAGCAATTATTAGACCCCAGTATGCAGAAACAACTTCTCATAGGCCTCCAATCCATTCCTAACTGAGAGATACAATGAGTAGCCACTCCCTGCCATTTGGCATAGAGTGTAGCAAAATCAACTCCATTTCACCACACATTGGGATTTTAAGAGGCTATTTCTGGCCAGCACGCATCATACCCGCACATCTTCCATCTTTGGTATTTTCTTATTAATGATTTATTATGATCATGCAGTTATCTATAAAATAGAGAATCTGTATTCTATGTCCAAGCCCTTTAATATCACTATCTTAAGTGAAGACTTTTTATTGTCCTATCTAAATTTAGGTCACGTAGATTGTCTGCCAGTAAATGTTTCTATATTGAGACTGGGGTTTTGTTCCCACATGGAGTCCAGCTGTTGAACTGACTTAATGTATCATGCCTATGTCCCTTCCCATGGGTTGTTCAATGGGTTTGTCATATCTTATATATTCCAAAATTAATATGATAAAAATTATGTGTAATAAAAATGAATCTCAAAATTATTTTAAAGTCATAAGGCATGTGCTTACATATATATATATATATATATATATATATATATATACTTTAGCATGTATAATGATATGTTGATGTTTATAATTTTCTAATTTTTCGTTAATATGTGTTCTCTATGGCCATCAATTAATATTTTTATTGAGGATATCAGTGAAGACATCATCCATTGATTTGGCCATTTAGCATTGTGTTTTAATTTTTTTTTTCAATTGACAGGAACCCCTTGGTATCATTCACGTATTTTCTCATAGCTGTCACAACCTACCTTTAATTCTTTAGACATATTGCTTCACTAACCTGGGACACTCACTTATTAACAAAGCTGTTGCATTAAATTGTTTATTTTTTTCTAAATTTTTCTGATGCCATAAAGTTGTGCAAATTTGATGTGATTCCACTGTACTTTGCTTCGACAACCCAAAGCAGTGTCCTCCTGGCTTAGTTCAAGCAAAATTGAAAAAGTTGTTTCTCTACCCTGTGGTAGCTGAAAGATAACTAGAAAGAAGCAACAGAAAGAAATTAATCCTCATAGGAAATATTCCCCATTGCTAAACACTTCTAATCTCTGAGCTGAATATATAGGACATTCAATATCTGTAACGTACACATGCATATCTGTGTCAGAGTGGTGATTAATTAAAAATAAATTTCTAGATAGTCCTTTGATAATTCAGGTTTGTTGTATTTGGGTTTGTAGTTTCTACCTTTGTAATTATTCTGCTGTCTTTTACTGACTAATTAATGAAAATCTGTATAATTTTCAGAGTCAAGGCATCATGTTTCTCTTGTAGGCAACTTTGTGTATTTATTGATCCTGACTTGAAATTAGTTCTTAACCCATGCCTTCTGGAAAGTAATTGTAGCAACACCATCTCTGAGCGAGCTGTGAGAAATAAGCTTTTGAGGGGGAATTTCTGAATTATGTTCTCTCAAATGAATACATCTGTAAAATGACCAATAAATTTAGGCAGTCATAGACTCGAAACAACTCTGAACAGCATCTAGCAGTTTCTGGAATTTTCCAGATATTACAAATGATTTATCCTAATTTTAAATACTTTTAATCCCAATAATTGACCTTATCAGAAAAGATACAATTACCCAAGTCTCAGGACAAAATTAGCCAATAGTGATGCGAGATAAATCAATAAAAGTGTAATATGTATTCAAGTATGTTGTTGATGGAATGAACAGAAAATCATCCATTGTTGTCTGAAGAATGTGATATTGTAACTAAAAAAACCTTAAAAGCTATTTCATTAAACATTAACTACTATTAAATACTTCAGTAGAAGGCTTCTTTGCAAGCCTCAGGAATCTGGAGGGGTTTTTGTTTGAACATATTGGAATTTTGGTGGAAAGGTAGAACATCAAGCACTCTGATTCCAGTTTAAAATAATAGTACTAGAACTAAGCGGAAATAAATAAATATGTAAGTTTTGAGATTTATTTCTCGAATATGTGTTATTTAGAAATACAAGTTGGTTAGTTTTCATATATTTTGGGATTTTCTAGTTATCTTAGTGTTATTGATTTCTAGTTTAATTCCATTGTGGCCTGACAGCAGACATTGTACGATTTCCTAGTCTTTTAAATTTAAGGGTCATTTTTAGTGCTAGAAAAAAACAATGTGCTATGTCCTTAGAATGTAGGTACTCACTAAGTGCTTATGGAAAGCATGAATACAGTTCACATGTACTGGGAAAATTTAAATATACAGATTTCTCAGTAATAAAATAGTAGTTAACTATGAGTACAAGTAAATTTAAATTCAATTTTGAATTGAAAAAGTTAATGGGACTTCTGATTTTTTTTACTGGCTAAGGAAGAACATACTAGACTGACTTTACCAAAGATAACAACTTTAATTCCTGGACCTAAAAAAGAATACACTAAAAAGAAAGTCATAATGTATATTTCTGGGTTTGAGGATTCAGGTTATTTTAATTTCATGTTTTGTAATTTTAAAGTGTTTCTACAAAATATATATGAAACCTTCATAAAAACTTTCATAAAAAAAGAAACATAAAGTAGTGCCCTTGAGTTTATTATTAGATAGAACCAGGCTGGGCTACCACCTGGACTTTCTGTGAGGATACTGGCTACCAAAAAGTGCCGCAACATAGCCAGAGCTGCCCTGCCCCACTAATTCAATCCAGCCCCAATTTTGTTTTATGATTTTAACTTTTAATTTTACAAATTTTTTTGCTCTTTTCCTGGTCTTAGACATTAGATAAAAATATGATTTATCCAACTTTTTTCTCAGAGCCCCTTCTGTCACTGGAACTCAAATTGATGCTACTTCCTCCATTCTGATCTTAATCTGTTTACTCCCCTTTTCTCTGAACTTGAGTTTCTGGACACAACACTAACTGTTCCACACTTGTTTTCAGCAGTCCTTTGTCCTAGCAGTGTCTTGCAGTAGTATAGCTCTCTGCTACCACCTTCTGGTTTCTGAATGCAAAAGCAATGCAGCCGGTCAAAGGTGACTTCTTTTTAATGTGGGCTCTTCCCAGCATCTGAGATGCTGTCACCCCCTTCCCCTCGTCTTCTCTCAAGCTCTACAAAACAATCTTTTGATATCTTTTATCTCTTTTTCCCAAATCAGAATTAAGTAGTTGTGACAGAGATCTTAAGCCCCTAAAGCCTAAATTATTTACTCTCTAGCCATCTACAAGGAAAGCTTGTTTTCACCCCTGCTCTCATGTATTGCATTTATTTGTTATAACTTTTGAGCATCCTTTACTCTTAAAGAGTGCCCTACATTTAAAAAAATTGTCTTTCATTTTGTTGACATTTTTTAGAGCCTAAGCCAGTTACTTCGCAGAATTTTTCTCAGTATGGATTTATCTTTTTGTTTGCTCATGATTAGAATCAGATTAAACACTTGGCAGGCATATTACATAGTTATAATATTGTGTCAGTGAAATATATCCCAAAGCACATTGTATAAGTTTGTCTTATTACAAGTGACAGTAACTTTGCTCATTTGGTTAAAGTTGTGGCCAACAGATTTATCCATTTCCCTGTTGTAGTTAATAAGTACTCAGTTGAGTGATATTTTAAGAATATGCAACTGTCTTTGTTTCTAAAAAAAAATCACACAATAGTCTTAGCATCTATTGGTAGTTCTTGGTTGAATTTATTATTATAACAGTTATGAAATGGTGAGTTTTCTGGGCTTTCATTCTCTTTACAATGAATTGGCAATTTAAAGAACTGAAAAACCTGGTACAAATTGGGCCACGGGCAATCTTCTTTCAGTTCGTATTCAGGTACTTACGTCCTTGCCTTTCCTGATACCTCACCATTTCCCTATGTCTCAGGGAAAACGTCTTGCAGGCCTTGTTTTGTTGTCCATCCTCAAGATGCTGTTTACTAATGGGAATTTGTGTGATTATGATATTTTAACAAATCCTGAGTTTCCCATTATATACAGAGATTTTTTAAAAAAAATATATTTGTGAGTTTGAAAGAACCTGAAACTTTTACAGCTTAATTCCCCAACCCAGGAACCAAAAGCAATTTGTTTTGTTATTCGTTAATTCATTTTTTCAATAAATTATTCATTCAACACATACATGTGGGACAGAGTGCTGGATGCTGAGGGCAGAGGAGGGAGGTTGCTTCCAAGTGCTGTAGAATGTGCCCATGCTCCTGGGGACTGATACTTGTTGAATATTAGTCATGTGACAAATCCCACAACGTATATGAGTTCAATTTTCTCATCTTCGAATATGGAGAATTGTAGCTATGTCATTAGATGGAGACAATGATTAACACACACACACACACACACACACGCACACAACCTACAGGCAGCCCTCACTGTACACAGCACCAAGTTAACTGAGACGTGTGGATATCTGAGCCCATTTTGCATAATCCCGAAATGCATGAGTTTTAATTATCTTGGCATCTTACAAGACAAGGGCTACCTGTATGTGTGTGTGTGTGTGTGTGTGTGTGTGTGTATGTATAGATATTGAGAAGTTGCTATATTTCATTTGGGAATTTGCTATATTATATATAATATAAAAATATATATAAAAAACACTAGGTACACACACATATAAATTCTAGAAAGTTCCTTGGGATGTAACAAATTCTTAAAAGTGGTACCAATATTATTAAACCAGGAAATGTTTTTACAGCTGCTGTAGCTCTGTATCATTGCCCAGCCTTTCTTTTTGAGCATGTTCAATGATAGTGAAATCAGGATTTCCCTAAGAAGCCCACACTCTAGGTCCCTATGCTAAGAGTACAGTAATTTGTGCCCATATAACCCTGCTAGTGTTCTCAGCAGCCATGTGATTCATACTGCCTAATTAAAAGAGAGCATCTCTCCAGTGCTCAGAGCTTTCCCAGCAGATGCCATTTCAGAGCCAGCTATGGCATCACTGGCAGAGTGGCACCTCTTTAACACAAAGTCTCTGTTCCTTTCCCCCCAACCTGTGGCCCAGGTGCCTGAGTTACAAAATTGAACCCAGTTGCCTGGAAAGCCTCGCAGAAAGGGAAGCTTTGCGAGGCCAGAGGCACGTGCGAGGCGGAAGGCTGTACACAACATGTCTCCTCACGCTGAAGGATCCTCGTCCCTGAGGAATCTGATACGCTGACTCAGTCAGATCAAGTCCCTGGGCTCTCAGATCGTGTGGATTAGTGCCCTGGTTCCAACACGTGCTAGCTTTGTGTGTATTGGCAATTTATGTAACCTGTCTCATTTTCCCCATTTGCAAAAGGGTACTATAATAGTAATTTCATCAATTTCATTGTGACGTTAAAACAAGGTAATTATACATAGTAGGCATCTAATATGTTTAGCCATAATTATTATTGATAGTCACACTAATGGTAGTTCAGTCATTGAAGGGACTCATGATATTTCTTGGGGGACACAGCTGCCAAGATTCCCCTTCAGGAGTCAGTTAAGTCACTTTGCTTAAGGTCATTCCCCCTCTTGGGGCAGCTCACGTCTATGACTGATAAGTACAGGACTATAGTCTTGCCACTTTGGTCTGAGTTGGGACAAAGCCCAAGGTCCATTTTTACTCCAGGACTCCCCATGGAGTTGACTGAGATTGTTTATGGGGCTGCGTTGCCTTGTGGCTCAGCCTATGTTTCTGCCCAATCCTGTTTCCTTCCTCTCCCATCCTCTTCCTTTCTTCCTGTCCCACCCCCTCTTTAGTTCATCAGGAATTGATTACAAGTGCATTCCCTAACCAGGATCCTACACACCAAACCCCACCTCCGAGTCAGTTTTACGGAGCACACCACCTGTGACAACCAGATCGTAGGACAAATAATTCCCCTCCCTTACTCCGATGTTGCACTTCATGGCCTAAGACCTGTGAACAGCGCTCATCTTGCGTCAGCCTTTGGCATGTTCTAGGGCAGCGGTTCTCAACCTGTGGGTCGCGGCCCCTTTCGGGGTTGAAGGACCCTTTTACAGGGGTCGCCGGGTACTCAGTATGTGGGCGTATCTGCATGTTTTAGGGCATTTTGAAGGTCGCAGTAACTCAGTAGTTCTCCTGGGAACTGGTCAGCTTCTGGGCATTTTGCCAGTGCCTGGGTGGACCAATCATACTTCGAAGGAGGGGACAGCACCAAAGGAAGGCCTTGAGCATCTGGCCAGAAACATGCCCTGTGGCCTGTGTCTGGTATAAGGGTGAAATTGGCAGCCCAGCCGGTAACAGGTTACCTTCCCTCCTGGTTATCCATCGTTTGACCTTGGTCTCTGAGTCACAGAGGTTTAGGGGTAATAAACAGAGCTTGGAAGAGTTCCTTCCCCAAGGGGCTAAGAGTGAAGCTCCAGATGTTTCTCCTGTGGGAGTGCAGACTTGTTCATTGGTTACAGATTGAGTTGCTTTTGTACAGACATCCAGATTTCATAATTTTTTAGGGACTCTTTCTGTTCTTTTCAAAGACAACCAGTTGGTTTACTCTTGCAGCTTCAGACTCCTAGTCTATTTTATTATAATTGCTCATATGCTGCCTACAGTTTTTATTAGGCTTACAGCTACATGGTCTTTTTGTTTAATATTAATATCTCTAAGTTCAGGGACTTAAATTCATTTAAACAATGAATTACTCTCTTACTGGTTGACAATTAAATAAAACACTTTGAAGGATGAATGAATGGATTTTAAAGAAACAAACAAATCAATCCATATTGCAGCCAATGTAATGGTGCTAAAACATGCACCTTACTTAGCATCCTTCACTAATTTTCTTATCGTGCCTTAAAGATCCTACATAATGTGGTATAACTCATCTCAATACACACATACACACATACACACACACACACACACACACACATTTCACATTTTTTTCAATTAGTTTCAGACAAAGGTCAAATGTAGTATTCTGTTTTGGAATACTATATTTTTTCTCCAGTCTATAGAGGCATTTTTAATTTGGTTCCCCTTTGATTAAATGTTTAACAAATTGATAAAACCAGTACATCTGCCATCATGTTAGAAGAGGAAACTAATTTCATTTAAATTATCAAAAAATTTCATTGTATAAATTGGCTTTAGATGTATGTATATCCTTAGGTGAAATAGTATTATATATTAAAGTTATTACTTTCCTTGTCACATTTCTTTTTCCTTCTTTGGAGTTATTTTTTTACTTTAGGAGAGCACAATTTTGATGGGTTGCTACACCAAGAAAAGGAACAGTTGCAGGAGAGACTTACGGAGTTGTTTCTTTACATTGTCTCTGGAGACCTTGGGGTATGATGAGGGAATCTAGAATGAAGCACAGATCTTAGAGACATTTCTGAACCTCCGCTGTACCTCTGCAGAGGTATACATCACTTTAGAATAGGAAGACAGCCTAAATCCAAGCCTACACCTGTCTCAAATAAGGGGTTCCAAGGTGTATTCTAAAGCAGAAGGAATTTTTTGAATTATTTCCAAATCTGGTTATGTGATAATATATAACACAACTGTGAAGAGTTTAAAAACTCTTTATCCAAGTAACAGAAAGAAGGCTTTTCCAAATATTTTTTGCCCACTAACTTTCAAGGAATGATTAAAAAAAAAAAATGAAAAGAGAGGAAGAAAGGAATCGTCCTAGCCAAAGGCAGAATCTGATCACATTTTGCAAACTTCAAACTTGAATTGTATCTACCTTGTTTTCAAAGTTGAATGTGCTCATTCTGGAAAGTAATATTAAAAACAAACTGATAGTTTTTAAAAAGAGGATTTGAAGACTGTCTAGTTTGTCCTTTTTGATTACCTGGATATTTTAGCTCAGAGTTATAAAGTACAAAGTGAATTGAACTGAAACTCTGTATTCTATTTCGTGGTCTTGTGTCACTTCCTAATTTTGCCTCAAATAACACCAGGCTTTCTTGTTTGTTTGTTTACAATATTCAATTTGTAATGAATATTTTACTCTTTATTATAACATAAATAAAATGTATCTTCTGTTAGCAATTGTCTTTAAAAATATTTTCTGATATTCTATAAAAAAAACCTTTTAAAAAATGTTTTGTAGGGTAGAGAAGATTTCTTGAAAAAACTCACTCGAGCTGAACTGGTTGATGGAACAATAATTCAGGTAATCCTAATTTACTTTTAATATTTTATTCTTCCTTTAATTTGCATTTTACTTAGCATTTCAAATTTGTCTGTAATGAGGCATCTTTTTACTACTTGGTTTGCAAGCCAGCAGTTTTCTCTCCTTAGCTGATGACAGTTGCCCTCTCTGTACAACTAGCAGTGTCTGATCATGCATAAAGAAACTGACCTCCCATACACATATCTCATTTCGTGGCTTAATGGGAATTTCTGCCAGTCTAGTAAAAGGGCAGTGGGATCTTATTCCTAAGTGTCTCTTTAGTTTGTTTTCTGATGATATGTTTTCTTTACTTTTAGTGTCTTTCAAATGAATTTCTTTAACACACACACACACACACACACACACACACACACACGCGCGCACACACACACACACACGAAAACCTATGATCTTTCTATATAAGACATTTGAAACTAATACATTATTGCTCATAAAATCAATTTAATTTTTTTATCTTTACACCACCTGCATGTCCTTTGGAACCCAAGTGACTATTTTGATCCTTGACATCTTTCTAGAATGACTCTTCTTCAAAAATACATAAGTATTTGAAATTATTGTTACATGAAAAAAAAATTAAGAGGCAAAACAACCCAAAACAGTGTTATTTTTAAAGATTACTTGAGATAATCTGCACCTCTGGTCCTCTTTGAAACAAAAACAAATTTTGAAATTTGTTCCGTTAGAAAATTTGACATTTTCAAATATATAAAGCAATGTTTTTCTACTTCTATATGCTTGAAAATACCAAATTTCCTAATTTATTTATACGTCTATTCAATAATTCTGTAATCTTCCAATGCTTTTTGCTTAATACTTTGTTCTTGACTTCTTGTTCGTTGGTTTTATCTGGTCTTAGATTTCAGGAATTACATATATTTCAATATTTGTTGTTAGTGTGTTCTATAACCTCATTATCTCCCAATACTTAAGAATTTTTTATTTTTATTGCCGATTAATTTTTTCTCTCATAATTTTTCTAGTAAGAAGTGCACCCTCTAAATATACCATATTCATACCTATTACTTTTTATGGTGGCATTTATTTTTTTGATTTTCAAATAACAGCAAGTATCTCTGCCTGGTGCAAGACAGAGGCTCAATAAACATTTAGGTAATTAATAACTGAATGAATTTTTTTAAATCTTTGCTGGCAGAACAGAATGTATGGCCTGCAAGAGGAACAGGAACTTTTGAAACAGGATTTGATGCAAAAGAAAGCAATGTATTCCCTAATCTTGGCAGAAATAGAGGCACCTCTGCTTCAAATGGAAGAAGATGCTGTAAGAATTAAAACTCTCCACCAAGAACATTCTGATGTAAGCATTTATAATGAATCTGGAAACTAATCTGCAGGAATATTTAGGTTGATAAATCATGTATATGATTTTACATTACTACTTGGAAAATTAGGATTTCACATAGGAAGACATAAAATCACAGACAGAATAAGTAACTATTTCATTAACCACACAGCTGATCTACAGGGGAAGTATATAGCAAGACCATTAATGCTATTACCTGGAACCTTGTATGCTATCTTAGAGTGTACTTAAGAAAAGCAGTTTTCAAATGGGTGAGTAGTGATTTATTTGCTATGATTTCCCACTATGGTAAATTTAATTCAGAGTTTCACTGCTCGTTAATAAAATGCTAAAGCTATGTTTACTCAAATATAAAATATAGTGCATCTTGACATTTTCATGGTAAATTTTTGATGCATGTGGAAAAGAGCTAGGATGAAAAATAAAGCAAATGTCGATAAAATATTTTCAAAACAACAAGTTCATGGCAGTAACTGATATTACTAGCCCTTCCCAAAGAAAAATTTAGTAGAAAAAATATGTATACATCATGTCATTAGTCTTTTGAAGAAGTAGAGGGTGTGGTAAGAGTTATACATTCTTGTCTTTAGCTGCAAGGAGTACATATATATTAATATTATTCATTTGGGCCATTTTGACAGGATTGTTTATTCATTGCAATTTGTGATGTAACTTTATATTCTTAGTCTTAAATAATTTTCAAAATTTATTTTAAAAACCTTATGATTTGCAAAATGTTCCTATTATGAAAGTTTATTTTGATCATCAAAGCTTCCCTAAGAAATAGGTAAGGGAGAGGGAGAGTTTATCTGTATCATAGACTTGATAAAACCTGGGCCTGAATGCATGAAGCAACACATACAATGCCATAAAGCATGGAAACAACACATGCTGAGTATATTATGCTACTTAAGACTTCCAAATGCTTATCCTAGAGCTCATATGATGAATATAATACCGGTGCTAATACCTAGTGAGATAAATGATTTTAATAATGGCTCCTTCTTATATTAATGATGGAAATTTATTAATTGCATCAAAAGCCTCAGTATAATCATCTGAATATGATAATGAATTCCAGAAAAGATGAATGACTTTTATTTCCTCTTATTTTATAATAGCCATTGTTTTATATCTTCTTGTAGTTCAGTAATCATTTGTTTTTATTAAACTTTAATAGTTTATGAATTATAAGAACTATTATTTTAGCATAAATTTTTGGGAAGAATATATTTTTATGCACTTTCTGTAATGATTACTGACAATTTGTATTTGGAATTTTAAGTTTTCAAATATTGTGATGAAAATTTATAATTTTGATGTGAGTTTATTAATGTTTGTTACTTAGCTAAAATTATAAGATATTAGTTTTCTCTAGTAATGCAAATTGAGCACTGAGATTGTGTATATCATAGTATGTTTTTGTAATTCATGTGTGGTGGCCCTTTCTCTTTCTATTAAAATATATATTGTTATTATTAAAATAGTCACTTAGGAACTATTTGATCTAAACCAGGATAATTGGATTGTAAATGCTACACATCTTAATTTCTGAATGTCTTCTAGGCACTAAAGCACATAATTGGGAAGAGAGAACATGTTAAAAGAAATGTGGAAAGAACAAAGAAAAAATTGCGAAGAAAGGGGAAGAAAACCCAAGAAGCGCTAATAAAAACTGAAGTAAGAAATTTAATATGAAAAAAAATTTTGAATTTATACCCTGTTTATGTCAGTGAAAACTATTCATGAAAATTTAATTTTAGATGGATACATCTCATTTCTAATTGGTTGCACTAAGTTGATTCCCCATGTGCACGCATGCACACGCACACACACACACAGATACACAGAGTCTCTCTGTATGTTTATTTTTTCTCTCTTACAGTGTCTTCCCCACTGATCTAATGTAGCCCCCATTACCTTTTGTACAAAGTACAGGCAGAAATCTGTCCTGTACTAGGTAGTACCATGTTTCTACAGATGAGACCAATCTATAGACTGAAATTTTGTTAATATCTGGCATCTAAATTTTACCCTCAGACTGGTATGTAGGCAGCATGAATAAATAGCTATTTATCAAAAGGCTTCAGGGATTTTTTCCAAATTAGAAATATCTACTCCCTGAAAATCTTTTCATCTAAGAATCTGTCTTTAGAGAACCATTGGATATGGGGAAGTGGAGATAGTCCACTATCTTTAACTTGCTATCCTCTGGATATATTTCAAAGGTAGCTCTAATAGGATTCATGGGTGGATAACATGTCGGCTGTGAGATAGAGATGTTATTATATCATTTAAAAAAAGTTTGCCCTCTGCTAGGCTGCAAAATAAATATAGAAAATATTACCACAAAAAATCATAATAATTATAATAATAATAACAGATTATTAATATGTTGCATGTTTTCTATATGCCAGGCATTGTTCTAAGTGCTCAGACATATTAACTCATTTCATCTCAATGATAACTCTATGAAGAGTGCACTGATCTTATCTCCATTCTACATTTGAAGCATCTGATGCCTTGTTTTCTAATTAGTTTGTTCAGTTTCACACAGCTCATTAGTGTGGAGTTGAGAGTCACCATATTTGGCACTGGCACTGGAATCTATGCTCTTAACCATTACATTATACTGATCAAAGCTTACAGGTTACGTTTATTGACCACAATGAAGTAAAATCAGAACTGAATAACAAAAAAGACAGCCAAAAGAAAAAAATTATGTAGACTACTGGAAATATTCTTTTAAATCACATTTTTATTATTACTATGCCTCTGTGTTAAGGAATATTTAGAAAAAAATTACCATATATTTAATGACTATTAATTATGATAAATGACTGATGATAAGCTATACAGCAAAATAGATAGAATGGGCCAAAATGATACTTTTGTATTACCAATACCTTATTTTGGTTAGAAAAACTAAAAGTGTTTGGCATATGTATTAAGGAAAAAAGAGAAGAAATAGAAATTAACATCCATAGAAAAAAATGAAAAGAAACATAATTCTATATGGAAGTGAAGGAAAGAATGCTATTTTGCATAGTAATTTGTTATAAAATCTAGATGATGTATGTAATTTATTTATAAAATAAAAATGATGAAAACTGGGTGAAATAAAAAAAACCACAATAATAGATCAATAAGTATTGAATGAATTTAATTTGTCCAAACTCTACCACTAAAGGCAATCACAAGCCCAGACATTTTATAGGCCTTAAGGCCAGGTACACACCATAAGAAAGAATGGAAAGCTTTCAAATTCATTTTATAGTAATATAACCTTGAAAACATAAATGAAAAATATTAGCATAAAAAAGAAATCTATAGGCGATCTCACTTATGAATATAGATGACAAATTCTTAAATAGATCAACAAATTGAATTTTATAATATGCTAAAAAGAATGTACTAGCAAAATAAGATTTCTTTGCAGAATGTGAGGATTATTCAATATAAAAATTGTATTAATATAATTCACTACATTTGTAGAAATGAAAGATAATCAGCTGAAAATATTTGCTAAAACTCTACAACCACTAGTGATTTTTAAAATGACTCTTAACTGTCTAAAAACAGAGTGAAAACATCTTTGTCTTGATAATGTGTTATAGTTTATCTACTCGTATTTTCCATCAAATATCATAATTAATCATGAAACATGAAAAGTATTTTCATTAAAATCAGGAACAAAACATTCATACCATCTCTTACTGCTTATATACAATACTTAGCACACGATTGGTATTGATAACAAATTATTTGTCATATATCACAAAAGATAAAACGTGTTCAACACTACCATAGAAAGCCACCACAGTTCTTATGGCCATATCTGAATATTAATTTCAAGAATATTAACTAAAACTTGCCAAAGGTGACATATCTAACAAATATAAACAAATTCCAAGAAAATATGGCTGAATATTGTGTGTCTGTGCTCTATATTGTAGAAGGTGCTAGGAATTGGTGGGTTAGAAAAGAAGTGTTAATTTTACTTGTCCTTCAAATGAATTTGTCTTTCCAGTTCCTATTGAGCACTTTAAATATATTAAATATTGCTGGAAGTTGCTGGAGTTGGGGAAGTAAAAGGAGAACTTGATTACCTCAAGAAGCACATCATTTTATTGGAGAGCAGACAAGGAAAAGACAGCATTAATACATTGTGAGCAGAGTCGTGACAGCAGTATAATGGGATGAGAGAGGGTCCTAGAGAAGGAAACTGAGGGAATCTGGGATGGTTTTTCAGAAGAGGTGAGGTGTAAGAATGAGAATTTCTAATAAAGTAAATGGAGGTTGGATACTTGCCTTGTCATAATTTTGAAGAGAATAGAGATAGTATACACACAAATCCTAGAAGAATAATTGGCACAAATGGTATCCAGAGAAAAGCAGATATATCCATACTCATATCAGAAAAAAACAGACTTCAAGACAAAAAAAGATAACAACAGACAAAGATGGACATTTCGTAATGATAAAAGGGGACAATACAACAAGAAGACATAACACTTATTAATATATATACCCCCAGTCAGGGAGCACCAAAATATATAAAGCACCTACTAACAGAACTAGAGGAACAAATTGACCAAAACACAATTAATTATATTAGGGGACCTAAATACAACATTGATAGCTATGGATAGATCATCCAAACACAAAATCAGTAAGGAAAAATATCAGCTTTAAATGACACATTATACCAAATGGACATAATTGACATTTATAGAGCACCTTGTCCTAGAATACCAGCCTATACATTCTTTTTTAGTGTACATGGAACATAAGGATAGACCACATGTTGGGACATAAAACTAGCCTCAGCAAATTTGAAAAGATTAAAATCATAACAAGCACATTCTCTGATCACAAGGCTCTGAAATTGGATACCAACTACAAAAAGAAAGCAGTAAAAACTATAACTATGTGTAGATTAAATAACATGCTATTAAAGAATGAATGGGTCAAAGAAGAAACAGAGAGAAGGATCAAAAGACGCATAGAAACAAATGAGAATGAAAATACATCCTGTCAAAATTATTGGGATGCACCGAAGCAGTAACAAGAAGGAAAATAATATCATTACAGGCCTATCTCAAGAAATAAGAAAAATCCCCCCAAAGCAATCTAACATTACACTTTAAAGAACTAGAAAAAGACAAATGAAACCCAAAGTCAGCAGAAGAAAGGAAATAATAAAAATTAGAGCAGAAAAAATGAAATGGAGAACAAAAAGACAATAGAAAAAAATTAATGCAACAGAGAGCTGATTCTTTAAAAAGATTAATAAAATTGACAAACCCTTGGCTAGACTTACAAAGATAAAAAGAGAAAAGACACAAATAAACAAAATCAGAAATGAAAGAGAAGTTACCACAGATACCACAGAAATACAAAGGATCATACAAGAATACTATGATGGACTATATACTACCAAATTCAGTAACCTAGAAGAAATGGACAAATTCTTTGAAACATATAGCCTTCCTACACCTAATTATGAAGATCTGGAAAATCTAAATGGACTGATAAACAGTAAGGAAATTGAATCAGTCATCCAAAACCTTCCCAAAAGAAAAATTCCAAGACCAAATGGCTTCACCAGTGAATTCTACCAAACATTCAAAGAGGATCTAATACCTGTCCTCCTCAAATGAAAGGAACAAGGCAAACATAAAGAAAGTAAACCTCATAGACAATAGTTTTGTGGTTACCAGAAGGTAAGGGGGTGGGGGTGGGGGTGGATGAGGGTAAATGGGATCAAATATCTGGTGATGGAAGGAGAACTGACTCTGGGTGGTGAGCACACAATGTGATATATAGAAGATGTATTACAGAATTGTATACCTGAAACCTATGTAACTTTACTAATAATTGCCACCCCAATAAACTTTAATTAAAAAAAAAGAAGAGGCACTACTTCCTAACTCATTTTATGAGGCCAATATTACCCTGATACCAAAACCTGGTAAGGATAACACAAAAAAAGAAAACTACAGACCAACATCTCTGATGAATATGGATGCAAAAATTTAAACAAAATTCTAGCAAATCAAATGCAACAATACATTAAAAAGGTTATACATCACCATCAAGTGGGGTTCATTCCAGGGACCCAAAAGATGGTTTAACATAGGCAAATTGATCAATGTGATACACCACATAAACAAAATAAAAGATAAAAATCATGATTACATCCCTAGATGCATAAAAAGCACTTGACAAGATACAATATCCATTTATGATTAAAACACTTAATAAAATGGGTATACAAGGAAAGGCCAAATATGACAAACCCTCAGCTAAAACTGAAGCCTTTTGCTGTATGTTCAGAAACAAGACAGGGTGGCCCCATATTACCACTGTTATTCAACATAGTTTTGGAAGCCCTAGCCAAGGCAGTCAGGCAAGAGAAACAAATAAAGGCATCCAAATTGGGAATGAAGTTAAATTTTCTTTTTGCAGATGACATGATTTTTTATATAGAAAACCCTAAAGACTCCACCAAAAAGCTATTAGAAACCATAAACAAATACAGTGAAGTTGCTGGCTAAAAAATCAATGTAAAAAATCCATTGCATTCCTACATACTAACAATTAAATCTCAGAAAAAGAAATGAAAAAACAATTCCTTTTGCAATTGCAACAAAAAGAATAAAATACCTAGGCATAAACTTAACAGAAGATGTGAAGAACTTATACACTGAAAACTATATGACATATTTAAAAGAAACTGAAGAATACACAAAGAAATGGAAAGACATTCTGTGCTCATGGATTGGAAGAATCACCATAGTTAAAATGGCCATATTACCCAAAGCAATATACAGGTTTACTGCAGTCCCCATCAAAATCCCAATGGCATTTTTTAAAGAAATGGAACAAAAAAATATTAGATTTGTGTGGAATCACAAAAGACTCTGAATAGCCAAAGCAATCCTGGGAAAAAAGAATAAGGCTAGAGGTATCACACTCCCTGATTTCAACTTGTACCACAAAGTGACAATAATCAAAACAGCATGGTATTGGCAGAAAAACAGATACACACACCAGTGGAATAGAATTGAAAACCCAGAAATAAACCCACATAAATATGGACAGATAATTTTCAACAAAGGAGCCAAAAACATACAATGGAGAAAAGAAAGCCTCTTTAATAAATGGTGCTGGGAAAATTGGAGAGCCACGTGCAAAAGAATGAAATTAGACTACTATCTGTCACCATATACCAAAATTAACTCAAAATGGATCAAAGACCTAAACATAAGACCTGAAACAATAAACTGCATAGAATAAAGCATATGGACCTTGGCTTCAAAGAGGATTTTGTGAATTTGACCTCAAAGGCAAGGGAAGTGAAAGCTAAACTAAATGAATGACACTATTTTAAACTAAAAAGCTTCTGCACAGCAAAAGAAACCATCAACAAAACAACAAGGGAACCAACCAAGTAGCAGAAGATATTTGCAAACAATTCTCCAATAAAGAGCTAATATCTGAAATATATAAAGAGCTTATACAATTCAAAAACAACAACAAAAATCCAATTAATAAATGGGCAGAGGATCTGAACAGACACTTCTCCCAAGAAGACATACAAACAGCCAACAGATATATGAAAAAATGCTCAAATTCACTAACTATTAGGGAAATGCAAATCAAAACCACAATGAGATATCACCTCACACCAGTTAGAATGGCTGTCGTCAACAAGACAAATAATAAGTGTTGGAGAGGCTGTGAAAAAAAGGAACCCTCATACACTGCTGGTGGGAATGTAAACTGGTACAGCCGCTATGGAAAACTGTATGGACGTTTCTCAAAATATTAAGAATAGAATTCATATGACCCAGAAATCCCTCTTCTGGGTATCTACCAAAAAATCTATAAACATTTATCCATAAAGATACATGTACTCTGATGTTCATTGCAGCATTATTTACAGTGGCCAAGACAATGGAAACAACCAAAGTGCCCTTCGATAGATGATTGGATAAAGAAGATGTGGTATATAGACACAATGGAATACTACTATTGCCATAAGAAAAGATGAAATAGTGCCATTTGCAACAACATGGATGGATCTTGAGATTATTATGCTAAGCAAAATAAGTCAGACAGAAAAAGTTGAGAACCATATGACTTCACTTATATGTAGGATATAAAACTGAAAGCCACAAAGGAACAAGACAAACAAAGAAACAAAAACTCATAGGCACAGACAACAGTTTAGTGGTTACCAGAGAGTGATGGGGGAGTGGTGATTGTAGAAGAGGGAAAAGGGGATCAAATATATGGTGATGGAAGGAGAATTGACTCTGGGTGGTGAACACACAGTGTGATATATAGATGATGTATTGTAGAATTGTACACCTGAAACCTATGTAGCTTTGCTAACCATTGTCACCCCAATAAATTTAATAAAAAAGGAATATTTGGCACTGAAAGTATTTAACATGTTTCCATTATTATTATTATTATTATTGACATATAATTTTTAACTTGATGAAAAAATGAGATAAAGGCATTCTAGAAACATACACTGTGTCTACAAAGAAAAGAGATCATGGGAGAATGCTATGTGTTATGTAATGGTGAGTAATCATTATGGTGAGAGAGCAGGGCACCTGTTCTAAGAGTGAAAGGAAATGAAGCTAGTGAGATGGGCAATTCCCTGACAAAGCAACACCTTGTGGGCCATTCTATTGAACCCCATTCTAAAGAACCTTGCAAATTGTTGTAGTATCAAACATCACTGTTAGTATTTATTAAGCACTCATAATGCTGACTAGTGTACAAACAGTACTATAGACACCATTTCTATCTTCTAAGTACTTAAGTTCTAAGACAAATGATTTTATATTTATGGTGCATAAGCATTTCAGTTGTGGGCCGAGCTAAACAGTAGTATTGAATTTTTGCTATTTTTAACCCCAGTTTAAGTCTTAGGTGTAGAATTTGAATTTATTACATTTAAATAACATAAAAATATATTTATTAAATCTTAATAAAAATTAAAAATATAATCTCACAATAATTTAGATTCTGAATATAATTTTTATTACCTAATATTTTTTAAAAACGTGGTTTGAAAGTTTTTGAAATGAGGAAATAATGAAAAATATAGTAAAACATTAATTATCTGCAATTCAGATTTTCAGACCGTTTGAAGTCTAGGCATGAAAACACCTTTGGGTAGAAAACCTCCAAATTGCTGGAACCTTTGCAACCCAAGCTAGAGAAAAAATAAGCCAAAGAGAGGCAAAATTATAGATGTACTATTTTATGCCTCTATTCCTATTTGCTCTGGTGACACTTCAACAGTCATCAAAAGATTTACAAATGGCTCTTGGAGTTCCCAAGCTTTTGCTCAATCAAGATATGTGGGTTTGTACTCCTGACATATGGCAACTAACAATTTCTTCTCTCTAAACTCATCTCACTATGGTGATGTCCCTGATGCTCTTGATGCCATGGAAGGGGATACACTGCTCACATTTACTAAAGCCTCACTGATGGTACCTAGTAAGGTACCAAAAGACAATTTTTATTTTCCACCGCTGTCTGCAGGAAGCACGCTTTGTCTTTCTTTTCTTTAGTGTAGAATCCTCTGGCACCACCTTCAGCGTTGCTGAAGTATGGTCTAAAGTGTTGAAACCATTGCTTCTGAAGTTTTCACAATTTCCCAGGAGAATCTTCATTCAAGATTAAGGCATGACTTATGGAATCTCACCTGAAAGTCAAGTTCAGTGATAGATAGCATTCAGAGTTGCCCATTCTCTTTAACTCCTACCTACTTATTTTAATCAAATATATTTGTGCCTCTCCACAATTTTTTTTAGGTGGACTTTTCTCACATTAATAACATGATATTCTTTTTTTTAATTTTTTTTTTATTAGCTGAGCCATCCTGCCACCTGTTGGCAGCTCAGCGGCAGCTCAGCTCCGGCCAGGACTCGAACCGCTGTTGATCAGAGCTCGCACTCTTCAGTGAACTCTTAACCAACTGAGCCACTTGGCTGGCCCAATAACATGATATTCTAATAGACCCATTGAAGAATCCCAGTCAGCCATCTTTCAACTACATTCTGTACATTCTGGTATTTAAAAACAAACAAACAAACAAACAGGGAGGATATGAAAATTCAAACACAGTACCCAATGGTCAAATTCTTTGCCAAACAGCAGCTTTTTATAGGAAAACAAATATAAAAGATTAGCCAGTCTTAAAATCTTAAAAGCAGAAAAAAGAATTAGGAAGCATATGGGGGAAAATGGAGGGAAATAGCAAAGGAAGCGATTGAGATTTGTGGAATCAGTTGGAAGAGTAGCATTGATTAAAAGCAATACCAGATGTGGGAATGCCAATCAGTAAGTTAGTCACTCAGCCAGTAAATTAGTCAGTCAATATTTATGCCAACAGACATGAAGGGATCATGCAAAATCAAATCTCCAGTCTAGAATTGCACTGGCTGGCCTTGGGAAATTGTGCTGGCATTAAATATTGACTTTTTTGAAAGATCAAAATATATACCCTTGCCCACCTTCAATGAATATGTTTGAAAACCAGTGACCACATGTTTGCATCTTGAAAGGACATGCCTTTAAAGTGTGCATGTATGTGTGTGAGAGTGGAGACAAGTTAGTGCAGAGAACAGAGAGAGGGGGAGAGAGAGATGTGAGGAGAGAATAGTTTTAACTCATCTTTTAGAAAACCTCATCAAATGTAACCATGGAGAAGAGAACATAAACCTAAGTAATTACTTACGTTGATAAGAAGTTACTGTTTGCTTTTAATAGTTTACATGGCCAAACATAATTGTGTCCCTAAATTGAAAGAATTTAAAAATCACAGGATTTAAAATAAAACACCCCTGAATTTGTTTTCCAGGAAGAAAGCTCAATGATTTTTAAAGAAATAGAAACCATTAAAAGTAAAACAATGCTTTATGAAGAAAATACAAGTCAATTGGACAAGGACCTAGACAAAACAGAAAAGGAAAAGAAAGTATTAGATCAGACACTTGACAATTTAAAGTAAGTACTTAAATTGTATCAAAATATTAAGTGTTTAATATATTATTTATAAAAGATAAGATCAAGTTTTCATATTTCAAATTTATTCTTAAAATGATCCATATTTTCTATTATAGTTTGATGTGGAACATACGTGTAATATTTGATAACTTTGGTTTAAAAACACAATCATAAATTGCTTTCATTTTTCATTGCTCCCCTGTGTTTATTTTTATTTGCATAACTGGGAATGTTTCTCTTTTTCCAAGTTTAAGAACTTTTATTCTTTATTAAATTGATAACCCTTCCCATTAATTTTAGTATTTCTCACTTGGTGTGATATTTTAGTGGTTTATATGGTTTATGTGGTTATTTTATATGGTTAAAGACCATATAATATATGGTTTTTCACCCAAATTTTTTTGATAAGTTTTAATAAGTTTTGAGGTATATATTTAGAAATATATATTCTACAAAACCTCATGTAATTTATTCTCATTTATTGTCTTTAAATAGCCAGTCCCCTTATTAGTCAGGGCCATACCTGAAAAGTGTTAGCATCGCATTTACACTCAGAGAATGCTCATGCTCTCAGACCCTTCGTATATCCACAGACCCTCACTTAGAACTTAAATACTCTTCCCTGTACTCCTCTTGGGTATTTTCTGTTTGTAATACATTGAGAACGGGGTTTGTAGGGCTATGGAAGGAATATGCATTGGTCACATTTAGGAATTATATTTCGATTAAATATAGAAGACTAATCCAACAAGCAAAACCAGCACTTAAGGGGTAGTGTCCGGGAAACAGCTCTGCACAGCCTAATACTGTATACCTCATTAGAGTCAAGCCAATTGTCTCAGCAAGGATTTAAAAATGTATTCTCAAAATGATCATATAGCTTTATCTGAAAAAGACTAAATCATATTCAGTATATCATGTAAGAAAGCAAGGAAACATGTATACTTTGAAAGATATGTATCTACTTTAATATCTGTAAGAATATTTGGGGGCTGAAAGGTATAGGTCTAAAATTATATAATTCACATTCAACTTATAAAGAGCTAATTCAGGAGCTGAACAATTTTTCTTTCCCTTCAGGATTCTTAACAATTTCAGTCCTAACATTTTCTTCTATCCTGTGGCTAGATTATATTGCCTTTGAGACAAAAGTGGTCACCATGTCCCAGTGAATCAATTAACTTTCAAAACTTGACAAAACTCTCTCTTTCCCCAGGAAAAGGAGAGAAAGAATAGCTGACTCGTGGTGTTGTTTACAAATCTATTAATTAACAGGGATGATATTGGATAATGTCAAATAATATTTAAAGCTACGATTGATTATCTTGCTAACGTGCCAGGCACTTGGCAGGCAATCTATGTACCGTATCTCATCCAGTTCTAATAGAAAATTCTTAAATTATGTGATAACATTCCATGTGGATGCTGAGGAAACAGAAACTCAAAGGAAATTCAATGATTGTCCTAAGATTGCACAGCTAATTAGTGGTAGAGCTAGCACAGCTTACATCCATCCTGTCCCAAAGCATGTGCTCATTCAACTGTGCATATTGACCCTCTAAACTAGGATTGGAAAGGAAGATCTTGCAGATAATCATGCACAGTCCATGTACAGTCCTGTGCTGCACAATGATGTTTTAATCAATGACAGACCATATACACAAGAGTGGTCCCATAAGGTCATAATGGAGCTGAAAAATTCCTATCTCCTAGTGACGTCTCAGCCGTCCTAATGTCGTAGCATAACACACTGTTCACGTGTTTGTGGCGATGCTGGTGTAAACAAACCTGCTGCCAGTCATATAAAAGTATAGCACATACAATTATGTGCAGTACATAATCCTTGATAATGATAATAAATGACTATTACTGGTTTATGTACTCACTGTAATATACTTTCTATTGTTATTTGAGAGTGTACTCTTTTTATTTATTAAAAAAACATTGCTGTAAACCAGTCTGCCATGTTAACCTGGCAGCAGCCTCATACATCTCATGTTTACCATGTCTCTCGATCGCATCATTTTCTCTTGTGCTTGATTTAATCCTGTGTTGTTTTGTACAGTAACATGCTGTACAGGTTTGTAGTCTAGGAGCAGTAGGCTTTACCTTATAGCCTAGGTGTGTAGTGAGCTGTACCATCTAGGTTTTTGTAAGTGCATTCTGTGATGTTCACACAATGACATAATTACCTAACAACGCGTTTCTCAGAACATACCCCTGTTGTTAAGCAATACATGACCACATTAGGAATAATCTACTGGGGCTTTCAGTAGGTCACCATATCAAGTTAAGCACCATGCACCAAGGACAAAGAAATGGCAAGTGGGAAAGTGTACCTTCAAGTGTCTGAAAATATTTTTAGAGAGACAAACGTTGCATATGCAAAATGATTAAAATATGGTGATAAAAAAATAATATCAATCAAAGTTACTCTTAACTCGCACTTGATTTTCTTAAATAGCTGAAGTGAATGGATCCAAACTGAGACCCACAGGACTTCTGAGTTTGTTCTTTTCATCACTATGATAACAGAAACATTGTTTTCATGAATGCGTATACACATAAACATAAATAGTGTGTATAATGTATATATAATTAATAAAATGCTATATTGAATATAATCTAAATTAAAATGCTTACGGTAGAGAATAAAGTAAATGTGGTCAAGATATAGTCATGTTTTCTGGGAACAATTATGAGAGTTTTTTTGGTTTTAGTCATACCAGCTCCTCACTGTATGATTTTCATTGGATCCCTATGCTTCACAATGTCAATATTAAGGAATGCTTACATAGGACATCATATAAGAATTTTGGATGTTGTCTGCATGAATGATAAAGTGGACAGAACAGGTGCAAGACAGATGAAAGGGAAGAATCTTATTCCATTTGGCAGGAGAGGCTCACAACTAAAAAATGTGAATAAAATTGTATCGTGGTTTCAAATATACTGATGACTGTCAGAGTGGGGAGAGAAAAGAATGAGTAAAATTGCGCTGCTGAATCAAACAGAGCTGAACTGGATTTGAATTCTGGTTCTGTCATTTACTAATTAGCTTACACAAGCTAACTATGTTGAAGTTTAGGTTCCTCACCTGTAAATTGCTATAATCATTATTCTTTCACAGGGTTATGGTTGTATTAAATGAGATATTATATTCAAAACATTTTAACATTTTAACCCCTCAGAAATCCTGCTGCCTTTATAGCTAACTGTGCAGATGATTCAATTTTCTATACTGGTAGAGATGAAAACAAATGTGGGTAACAAGACAATGCTGAGCTTTTGCAGCTCTGCTTATTCTGGATTCTGGGTTGCTGATTATCTCTGGAAATTATTTCTAAAGCATATTTATTTTTGCAGCATTATTTTAACAACTTTTTGTGCTTATTCTACTAGGATTGCTGTTTGTATTACTACTGATTTCACCATAAAAATCATACTTCTGTGTCAGGATGTACTTAGTTGCAAATGACAGAATACACAGAGACTCACACATGCACACACACACCCCCACACAGACATTAACACTCCAGCTTAAACAATAGGAGAATGTACCAACCTATGTAACTGGAGGCCCATGGGTAAGGTAAGCTGCAGACTTGGTGGATTCAGCATCTCAAAACTAGGTACTCATTTTTTCTCTCTTCACTATGGCTGTTGTCAGCAAATTTGAAAACATGCCTCCTGTTCACCTTTAGTGGATGTGAGCCTCCTCTACATGTAATTAGGCCCTTACCTTTCATCCTATTGAGCTATCTTACTATATATACTTACTCCTGGATAATTAGCCACATACTGGTAGGCTTAATCTAATCAGAATGAATTCTTGGAGTTACGTGCTGCATGGAGGAGGTGTTCTTTTGGAATTACAATAAAATAGAGGTGTGTTGGGTCGGCAACCAAGAGAATCCATTAAATTTCTCCAAAGATGTTCTTCCACCTGGGTGGTTAAAATGTAGCTCAATGGAGGTAGGCCTATAGAAAGGACCAGGGAATTTTTCCAAAGCCCTTCAGTTCCAAGATTTTTCAACATTGGATCTCTTATTTTTTAGTGTTTTTTAAAATTAATTAGCTAATTCTGTTCTTTAGATCCCCCATAGGAGGTCTGACAATTAAGTTTGCAAACTTGTTGCAACAATGTTGCTAACCATTTTTTGTTATCAGAGAGACTATTCATTATGAATTTGTACCAACTGGACAAAAAGTTACCAAAGTTTACTGCTTGGAAGCGCTGAAAAGGTTGTGTGCAAAAGTTAGACCTGAACATTTCACCAACAATTCATGGCTCTCGCATCACAACAATGCACCAGCTCACAGGGTACTGTCTGTGAGGGAGTTTTTAGCCACTAAACAAATAACTGTATTGGAACACCCTCCCTACTCACCTGATCTGGCCCCCAATGACTTCTTTCTTTCCCCGAAGATAAAGGAAATATTGAAAGGAAGATATTTTGATGACATTTATGACATCAAGGGTAATATGATGACAGCTCTGATGGCCATTCCAGAAAAAGAGTTCCAAAATTGCTTTGAAGGGTGGACTAGGCGCTGGTGTCAGTGCATAGCTTCCCAAGGGGAGTACTTCGAAGGTGGAATAGTGATATTCAGCAATGAGGTATGTAGCACTTTTTCTAGTATGAGTTCATGAACTTAATTGTCAGACCTCATGTAAGTGCTAGCATAAGGTGTTTGTATTTTTGTCTGCCTTATTTCACATAGCATCATGCTCTCTAGGTCCATCCATGTTGTTGCAAATGGTAAGATTTGATTCTTTTTTATGGCAGAGTAATACTCTATTATATGTATGTACTGCTTTCTTTATCCCTTTGTCTATTGATGGGTATTTCAGTTATTTCCATAACTTGACTATTATGAATACTGCTACAGTAAACATAGGAGTGCATATGTCTTTTCAAATTAGTGTTTTGGATGTTTTTGGATAAATAACAAGGAGTAAGGAATTGCTGGGCATAAGGTGGTTCTGTTTTTTAAAT